CTAGTAATCACGAGCTCAGTAGCTTATACACCTGTCTTGCTCCTACTCTCGCAGGCTGCCCACCCAGGTACACAAGGTAAAGGAATGAGAGTGTTTACTATAACGCGGTATCACGCTACAGTTAGCTAAGTTGGTTGAAGCCAACCGCCATAGCGTGTAGTAACTTTTCATGGGTGGCATCTTTCTGGAATGACTTCCTTCATTGCACAACCCTTCTTACAACAACGAGCGCCATTCTGTATCAAAAGGTCTCTTGAGACCCAAATGCTCACACAGCTCACCAATATGATCGACACCCCAGTACCCCTCAGTCTCTCCACTCGCATTCGTAGCTGCAACAGACTGTCAACAAACATGATTTAGTTACGAGATAGGGCATCAAACTTGCACTCACCGACAAACCAAGGCAGTCCGAAAGCTCCGTCTTCAAACGCCTTGGTAGTATTTTTCCCCAACTTCTGCTTTATCTCCTCCGTCCTCGTCCTCTCAATTACTTTCCGCGCTTCTTCATCACTGTCTAGAACCGTTTTGAGGATAGCTTGCAGAGTCTCTGGTTTGGTCGGGTCATTCCATTGTACCCAGAAGTTTTGGTAGAAGAGTTCGATAGCGCGTTCGACCTTTTGCGGGTGCGAGAGCGAGAGGGAAACCAGGGCACGTTGGATAGGCAATGTGTTGACAGGGAAGCCAGGTGGAGTATCCTGCGAGACAGGGACATTGAAATGTTTCGACAAGCGCTGGCTCTCGGTGCTGATCCATTTATCCTTGTCTGCGTCGTGTCAGGGTTCCAGAGCAAACGACAAGAATTCCTGTGGTCCACCAGACGAGCCATTGCATCTCCTCTTTCGTGTTGCCTCGTCATTGTGATCATCCCAAGCTCTTCCGCGAAAACGAAAAATTGACGTACTCTTAATTCTCAACGGCGGCGTATTCCCGCAGATCTTCATCAACCCCCCGAGCAAAATCGGTACAAATTCCAACTCAACCTGCTGGAAAACCTTCGAATTCTGCCCAGAACACTTTTGTCAGCATCACGCTATACATCCTAAATAAACTTACCTTCAAGATGTAGAAAGCGATGTAAGCAAACGGGCTTACAATGTCAACGTAGAGGGTAATTCTGCGCCGACACATGATAGGTCGCTTTTTTTTCGAGTCAACGAATGGGAAGGAATAATTTGAGTGGAGATGAGAGCGGGGTCCTGTATTCCTGGCACTCTGCTCTACATATGTAGTACAGTACGTGGGGAGTGAACGGTGGTGGTCTCAGTGCCATATTACCTTTAATGTGACTTACTTTGTGCTTTGGATACCTTGTTAGCATAGAGACAGCATGAAAGCACCGAGCCCGCTTACATGCTCTAGATGTCTGGGGTTATCGAAATGGTTCTGGCACACATGACTGACGTTCCCTCGAATACATAATCCAGATGCGCTCTGCTATAGTGTGCGGAGACCATTTAATTTCAGTCGCCTCGTCCTTGATTGATTGCCCTATGCTTCGTGGGCTCATGGTGTTTAGGCAAATCCTTCCGTGATAGAGTACATAGAGAACGCAGCTTAATCCTTACAGTCAACGACATCAACTCGGGTTGACCTGAAAGCAAGTAGCCCATCGATACTTTATCGCTGACTACTGAAATTTTTTACATGATGCTGACGGCGCTTGACCACTTACAGAAGGTGCAGTGAAGCACAACAGCTGCGTAACACTGCGTGCGAAGGTGAAGCCGAATTGGCTAGACACTGGGTATATCATGTTCCTATCTTCGGTATCTGTGGTGAATGCTTACATTAATAGAATGTTGCGTAGTCGCATGATTATCTGCAAACGTATTATTACAGCATTGGCAGAACGTACCTTAGAGGAAAGCGCTCGCTGCCGGCAACGAGATGACGAGAGCCGTCTCACCTAACGGTCATGACCGCTATCTGTGAGACGATGATGTGGGTGTGCTACGTAGGTAGCAGTTGCGGAGAGTTTCTTTTCTGGACATGCAGTGAATTGCCAATGCAAGCGATGATGGGGGCTGTCACCACGGAAGGAAGATCGATCGAACAGTACGATCAAAATACGGCATCAAAATACTATACAAATTTGGATGCTTTACGCTACAGAAATCGGTTGTCTGTCTCGATGCACTGACGACTACGATTCGATCGTGCATGATAGCCTCTGACCAGAGTTGCTAACAATCAATCCAAACTGATGAGACTGACTGACTGACTGATTGCTTGGCAGTCAGTTCAGTGTCAGTTTAGAGCTCTCGTCTTATCAGTCAGTTCAGTTTAGAGCTCTTAAAC